GATTCGTAAAAGATTTTTCGTACGTTTCAAAGGCAGTTAAAAAATGCGTTTAATTTTCGTCACGAAATTGATGTCATAAATTTTGTGTTTCTAGTTCAGCTTTCGTCACTCGAAAGTTTTACCTCAAAGAGGTGTTTTATTTGATAATATATACAACGTTTATACGTACGCTATTTGCAAATAAAAATAATTTGCAGATAGCTAACTCACTGTTTATTCGATGGTGAAAAATTATTTTTTAATATTGCCTGATTATAAAAAGGCAATAATATGACCATCGAAAAGGAAAATAAAGCTAAAAATGGCAACGTCTTGATTATAAAAAGGCAATAAGATGACCATCGAAAAGGAAAATTCACCTAAGAATGGCAGCGTCTTGCGCTTATTTGCAAATAGTACCACTAATCAATACTTATTTGCGTTATTTAGTTATTTGCAAATAAAAAATTAACTCAGCGTTTATACGGCAAAGTTTACCATTTTGCAAATTGTTATTTGCAAATAATGCGTGCGTATAAACTTAGTAATAGAACTGTGAGCACCCTAATCACATTTAGGGTAGCGAGTCTTTAATATTTAATACATTCGGTGCGAAAAATAGCTCAGTTTGTTTACTGGATATACTGAGGGAACTCCATGTTTCTCGCACCGACAACTCTACGTTGGCTTCTCACGTGCAGTGTTGCCAAACATGGGCTTTTCCTACCAAAACTGGTAGGTTTTTTTCCATTTGGTAGGTTGGTAGGCTTGATTGGATTTTGGTAGGTTTCGGGACTACGAGTAATAGTTATTTGCGAAAAATAGAAAATATGTATATCTAAACCTTTTAGAAATTTTTTTTTACATGAATATTTCATCGGTGCGTTCGTATAACGACGGCCGCAAACATGATTCCTCAGTACGAACGTATACCCTTATTATTGCCAATATACAATACGAACATCCATATATACTTTATGGCGTACTTGGACCAAGATTCCAGGAAAGTCTGCCAATGGGCTTGCCCCAACCATATTCTGGGCGGAGGTCTTCGTAATCGAAGTCTGTGTTCGCGAATTTTATCGTAGAAGGCAAATGAGGCCAGAATAAATATTATGTCAGATATTCAGGCAGCGTTAGAAGCCTTAGAGTCTTTTAAAACGGCGTCAAGGCTTTTGGACTCTTGAGCCACCTGGGAGCCCACAATAGCATACCGCTGTGGACGGTTCAGAGATATGAAGGGTTTGAAGGCAACGAAAGGGCTGACTGTCTACTTAGGAGCTAGTTGGGAATTGCTGCACACTGGCGGAAGTCGAAGCGAATAAGACAATCAAAGAGATTCATAACTTTTCAGGAGGAACTCCGAAAGATACCTTGAACTTAAAACTCTTACTGGCTACCTGACAGCACACTGCAAGTTAACGTACCGATTGAATTAAAGGGTCTTTCTGTAGAGACTGACTGTAGGTTTTGTGGGCCGGTGAAGGAAACCCCAGAATATATTCAATGTGCCTGTCCACGCAGCATGAATAGTAGATTGATGTACCTTGGGGAAGGATTGTCTTCTCCATCTAAACTTTGGAACATGGCATCATCCAAAGTGCTGAGCTTTTTAAATAGCCTAATATTGGAGCGATTATAATTAGGATTTAGCACAATATATCTTCTTAGGTCGCAACGCGGGTATCTCCGACGTAATAATAATAATATAGTCACTTGACACGAATAAAGACGCTCGGGTGTTTTGACGGCGAAAAAGGATGCGTGAAAAAAATTTGCGAAAAAAGACGCGTAAACATGGATTCAACATCATTCCGGAAAAACTGTTTGTGGAATTCGTATACTCGCAAACATAGTTGACCGCGAAAATAAGTCTTCTTCGTCTTTCTTCCCCGTCAAAGAGGTTGACGCGCCTTTCTTTGCCCTCGCCTATGTTAAGAGTTCTTCTTCGCCGAAATTTTTTTACGCGTCTTTTTTCGCTGTCAGCTTTTGAGCTCGCGTCTTTATTCGTATCTAATGACGATATGTATGTATGTACAGTAAAATAAATCGTTATACGCAGCTAATTTGTTTTTATTGTACTAGCTGTGTTTTAGTTTTACTAAATGTTATGTTAGCTATGTTTTTAATAAATTTGACATTGAAAAAAATATTAAAACTGAAAAAAATGTTTGGTAGGTTTTGGTTGGTTATGGTAGGAAATTTTGGTAGGAAAAAACATGTGTCTGTGGCAACGCTGCTCACGTGCCTCAAGCAGAGACCGTACCGGTTATGCAAGAATGATATAATACAAGATTGCGCCGATCAGAGAGGATTTTTGAGAATAACTTTTGTGTGACGTCACACTGGTGCAATTGCGAGAGAGAAATGCCAAAACGTGAGCATGAATGGAAGAAGAAGAAAACATGTTGCAAGGAAAACGTAAACAAGTTGCACAATTGTGACGTCATGCAAGCAACGATTCTGTCAAATTCGTGAAGAGAAGAATAGCGGTCCGAGATCGGCGCAACCTTTGTATTCTCTCAATCGTGCCGGTTATGCATTTTATAATAAACTAGCCGGCCACGGATGCGCGAGGCTTCCCCACGCGCTGAATGTATGCATATGTACATTTACGTATTTGGAGAAAGAAATCATATGTCATCATTAAGGCAACCCAAAATATGCTCTTAAAAACAAATTTCAAGCGCCGAAAATATGCCAATAAATTCTAAATATATGCTCCACAAAGTGCTTTTAAAATCATTTTAAGCCATAAGATATTCTTTTAAATTTCATTTATGTAGTATTTGCATGCCCAATAATAATAATATACTTTAACTTTATTTGCAGCACCTAAAATGTTCTAAATTTCATAAAAGTGTATATACATAAATATTTATGTTTAATAATTCATATTTATTCAATTTTTTTTTTTAAACATACTATGTATGAAAGTACATGGAATCTAATTCACAAATTGTTTCACATAGGAATTCATACTGTGCATGTTTGTAGATACATATGCGCCGTGCAGCGGAAAGTACTAGTCGGGAGTTTTGGAGTCGAATACCGGTACCTCGCAAATCTACCACCAATGCTTCCTGCTGTCGCATTTAAAATGGAGTTGTCCTAGAAGGTGACAATTGCCTCCCTCTACGTAACTTTGCCCTGGTACTTGTAGTAATAACACGTAGCCTGTAACCGAACCACGTTTTGTATCTCGCTGCGTAACCTGGTACTAGTAATAATAAAGGTTTCCATAACAAAACACAGTTACTTGCATTTGATGAAATCTTTGTTAATTGCTTGCCAATCGAAATTATAACGGCGCGTCATGGCGGGTCAGCGTCGGGACAACTCATCTGTCGAAACATATAAATATGTAGTATTATCTTTCTCACACATAAAAAATTTAATATAAACACGAAGTGAACGTGCACTTTGATATTTATTTAATTTTCGACACAATTATTTCAGAAATTTTTATTATTAGTTCTAAACCTAACAACGCAGCACAAAGTATCCGAAAATATGCATTTACTGCAAAATATGCTGAAATATGCATTTATTGCAAAATATGCTAGAATATGCTCTAACAAATATATCTCAAACTTTATATTTTATGGAAAAACGTTTAAGCATTTCATCAGCGTGTTCCTAACATGCCTAACAAAAAACACGCCCAAACATATTTTGGATTGCCCTAGTCATCTTGTACTTCGTTTATTATATACATAAAAAATCTTGTCTAAATCCGCTCAGTAGCGTGGTTAAAATATCTCGCCTTTCCTTTATCCTATGTATAGAAGATAGTAATTTTAAATAGGTGGCAACCCTACTAAAAAAACTTAAAGTTTTTGTACATGCGAAGGCCATACACTTTTATTTGGTATCTTATTTTTTATCCAACGAACGGCGAAGATCTTATAGTTTTTAAACAGGTGGCAACCCAACTCAGAAAAATAATACATTATTACACATCCAGAGGCTGACTTTTCGATTGACAGTGACGGTACAGAAAGATTCAAAATCGTAATTTTATTAACAGGTGACAACCCTACAGAAAACAAAAAAATATTAGTGCTTTTCTAGAGGCCAATCTCTTTCATTTGACATCTCATCTTTTGTAATGCAACGAACGGTGCGGATCTTATAGTTTTTTAAACAGGTGGCAACCCTATTAAAATTTTAGTAAAAAAAGATCCATCTCCTGTCGATACAGAGCAGTGCTGCCGTTTGCTGATTTTCGAGCGAAGTGAAAACACATAAAAAGTGAAGTGTTTCGGAGTGATTTGGGAGGAAAAGTGAAGTGATTATCGTAGTGACGATTTTCAAGCAAAATTAGGTGTGGGGGTTTTTCGATTTAGTTTATTTATCAGCCGATGGGTTAATCGATTTTTTTTTTATCACAATAAAAGTAATCTTTAACGTTTATAAATTTATCATTTATTGTGTTTCTGTGCAAATTTAGTGTTGGAATATCTTTAAAATCACGATGTCTCAAATGTTGTGGAAATACAGAACAAAATAACAGTTAATTGATGACGAAAACAGTTAAATATAACTAATCGATGTTTTATTTTCGATCAAACTAAATTTTAGTAGAGAGCAATCTGGAATTATTTTATAATTAAATTTAAAAGTAAAATACTCACAAAGCCCTAAAAAATATTAACACATTTTTAGTTTATTAAGATAAAGTAACATTTATTTAAATTGTTCACGCTTTACTTTTAGTAATAAGTCTGTAGATTAAATGCAATTTTACATTAAATGATGAAATTAAATTGATTCTAATTAAATTTTATCACATTTAATTAAGCATATCACACAAGTAAATACTTTTTGTACTTGGTATTAAATTAAAGTATTTCAATAAACATGTATATGCATTTTTAATACATATAAGTTTTAAAATAATCACATTGTTACATTTTGTACTTATTAGCATTTTCATAAAATGCATTTCTTATTAAAACTTATATAAAATCACATTGTAACATTTTGTACTTGTTTTTTTTGCAATATTGTTATACATTCCAGCCAGGTAAACGTTTCCAGCCACCGCTCCAAAACATTTTGTTGAAAGGTCTTTCTTGTGCTAGTGGAAGCATTAATTGACGTAGCACAATCACTTAAATCGATAGAAAGTGCAATATTGGATGAGGCATCTAGAGGCCCAATGGTAGCTTCATCAGCAATAGCAAGCGCACCATCTTCATAACTTGAAGGTTCAGGAATCTCAACAACATCATCGCCACCACCAACGCAAACCAACCGTCTCTATAATAGCTTAAAGATTCAGCATATACACCATTTTCATAATAACTTGAAGATTCAGGAATCGGAGCAACACCACCGCCACCTCCACCAACAGCAAACGCACCATCTGCATAATAGCCAAGAGATTCAGGAATCGCAGAAACATCTCCACCACTTCTATCAATCGCAAATGCACCATCTCCATAATATTTTGAATATTCAGGAGGCGCAGCAACATCACCTCCACCACCAACAGCAAACGGATCATCTCCAGATGCAACAAACTTATCAGAATAACTAGAAATTATTTCGACAGCAGCAACATCACCGCCTTCATCAATGCCAACACCGCAATCCTCAGAAAAAAAATCGCTCGTCACAAGCGTGTCAAACTCCCCATCCTCATTTGTCGAGATTTCGGCACTGCAAATATAAAGTTTCCCGTAAATATGAAATACTAATTTAAATGTTTTTAAAGAAACTAATAAAATAAGCCGTAAGACTTACATTTTACTTTTCCCGCCTTCGTGCTGTTTTTTGGCGGCCCCGCCGTGGTCTTGCAAAAAATAGCTAAACAAATTTGAGGTTAGAAAACGTACATACATATATGTAGATGATCGAGTAAAACTTACCTCGAAATTTTCTTCTGACCTGATGCAGCCTTTTTCCTGTAAAATGAAAGACATGTATGTAAATTAATATATAATTGTTATTTTTTCATAAATTTGCTAAATAAATATGAAAATTTACTTACCCAAACTTTTCTGTGCGCTTTCCAACATGTTCTAGCATGAACGAAAGACACAAGATCACGCCTTCCCGAAAGAAAGAAAAAAGTTATTTTTTAGCTGTTGAAATCTCGACGCCATCTTTGTTGGAAGAAGTAAACAACGAAGAGAACAAAAAAAAAACCGCGTAATTTTTGAACGCTTGAATAATCATTGTTATTATGCAAATTCTTCTATAAATCATGTCGTTGTGTTAAATTATTCTTTACCTTATGTGTGCACACGTTGTCACAAGCGAAAATTAAGAAAATTGCAGTAAAAAGCCACCACCAAATTGTAAACAACGAACAAATGTTAAAAAACGGCTAATGTCAAAGTCGCCCAACCTTTTTCCTAAATGCGATTATAACGGGCTACTAAGAAGAAGGCGTGATCTTGTATTTTTGGTTCATGCTGTTCTAGTTATATATGTATCTTGTGAAAGTGAAACATGACTTTTGCTAAGGCACCGATGCCAGATCGGAAATTTATTACACTTCTTTTTAGAAATATTTCGCGAAAAGTTACGTTACCAGACTTCCACCTTAACAATAGTTTTTATAAAAGATTATTAATTTTAGTTAAATAAATCATTAAAGAAAATTTCTTATTTTGGAGATAAATCTAATCTGTGGAAAGTGAATGAAGTGACGTAGTGATGGCTTCCAAAGTGAAGTGAAATACTTCAATTGAAGTGACGGCGGCAGCGCTGAACACCACCTTGTATAAATTCGCCGCGGTACTGCTGAATGTCAAACTGATGTGTTTGTTGTAAACAAGGCGAATTTATACAAGGTGGTGTTACTGGCGAATTTAGATTTTCGTCGCGGTACATATTTGGGGTGTTCACAGTTCGTTCCAGATAGCGTCTCAAAATGTAGACGTCTACATTTTAAGACGTTTTCTAACCGTAAAATCTGTGGTGTTGTTGTTTCCCATACAAAATTGGAAAACGACGCCGTCTACATTTTGTCACACTCAAAGGTATGTTTTTTACGCGTCTACATTTTGCGACCTCGCAGCAGGGTTGCATTATGGCAATACTTATCACATTTTTTTTATTTATTGGGCACGTTTTCTGTATTTGCATTTAATTTGAGCGCAATTTCTGATGAAAAGAAACAAATCAAGGAAAAGAAATAACAAATATTACGAATTGGTAATTAAGTTAAATAATTACAATTTTTCAGAAACAAAATCGAAAGGCGACATATAAAAAATGCACGCAAGGAAGAAATGTCTGGCAACACCAGCAAAGTTTTGAGACGATTTTGCGACGACTGCTAGAAAGGGGTGCTCACAGTTTGATGCTAAAGATGTCTCAAAATGTAGACGTCTACATTTTCAGACACAATTTGGAACGAACTGTGAACACCCCAATTGTTCAGCCCGATATATCGCCATATCGGTTTTACATGCAATCAAATAAATCGATTCATGATATCGATACTTTCTTAAATATCGAAAATTCCTCACACCAAGGCGAATTTATACAAGGTGGTGTTGTCCAATCTACTGATTTCTTCTTCTTTCCTTCGCATTACATGTATTTTGTTTCTCCTTTTACTGATTTGACAGCATGGCCATGAATAGCAAAAACAAAATACATATAAACTTTGAGGCGAATTGAGATTTGACATTTTGACCCTGATACAAAATACACGTGGTTGTTGTTTGTTGTATTCTTGCTACCACCATGTATAAATTCGCCTTGGTTTACACCGGATAATATTGTCAAGACAAT